GATACTGCAAAAGTGGTCGGGGGCAACAATACCCTAGGGCAGTTAGGGCAGCCATTTATCTGTTGTAAGGCACACAGTGCACCCTACAAGAAGTGGCAAAGACCCTTCACCCCCTTACTTAAATCCACCCTTGGCACACTGCAAAGCACAGGACAACTAGGTTTTACTCCCAGCACTGAGGCTGATCTCCCTTGAGCCTTGTCCCATTTCCATTTAAGCCAGTTCCCTTCAACTTCCACAGGTCTCTATTTCCCTCGCTGGTAAAACTGAAGTGATACGTTATTTTCCTCGTCTTTTCTTTTCTGCCTGGGTGACTTAGGCTATCAGCTTCAGGGTAGCAATTGCCTCTGATAATGTGCTTGTACAGCTCCCTAACAATAATGCTGGGCAAAACAGGACTTTGATCTCAGCTGGAGTCTCTATGCACTACAGCAGTAGCGCCCTGTATAAGCGGAGACCCCTATTAAGGGAAAGCTCTAACTTAAATGTTTTAAAAGCACATGACTAAGCTAATTTTATACATCATAATAACCTGAGACAAGACAGCCTAATTTAGAGGAGACGCATGCTCTCTGTACCCTTTTCCTCAGAAAAAGCAGCTCTCATAAATTATCCATGCCAATCCCCACAGCAGGCAGCTGACAGCGAGCCTGTCTGCACTGCGATGCACTCAGTCACAAACTGCACCTTGCAGCAGGCTGAGCACTCTACTATCACTGTTACCTTTAAAATGTTGAGGCATAAAGATAGATAATACCCCAATAACTCAAATAAATGCATAGAAGTGAGTGTGGGACACCCTTGGTCTTCAAGGCTGGTCCTGTTTCACAACTGCTTTACGCATCACACTTTCTGAAATCTTAACTGCTCTAACTGCTATGATTCATGAATTCACAACACCGATGCACTCCACAATTTTCATGCAACTGTAATCCTTCACTTTGCAAGTAAATAGCTAGTGATTCTTTATAGTTGCAGTACCTAAGCACAGCCTTAAAACTTCAGAGCAAGTTCATGAAAGCTACAAAAATTGAGCATAATAAAAAATGTCACCAAATAAGGCATATTATTACCATCATCATGTACATATCAAGATATATTATGCCACTGCAAAATGCATGCTGTGCAATCTGCTTTATACAGAGCCCTTTGCACAAAGTGCCTGACTCCCTGTGGCACCGTTCATGGGGTCCTCTTGAGCTACGGCAGGTTTTTCCCGCACAAACCAAGACTCAGTAGCATTCCAGAAGCTTTACAAAGAACTCTGGGGACTTGCAGCAAATTCATTTCTCTGTGGACTGTGCTTTTCAGCTGACAGTCTTCATATATTTCTCACTAAACAGGGGAGATTGTTTTGTAAATGCTTTTTAAGTTATAGTATTAAGATCTATTGTTAAAGAAACAAGTGAAAATATAAGAAATCATAATAATAAATAATAATGGGGACTGGGACCTTACTGTGACTGATAAAAATGAGTATGTTTATTTCAGAAATTCTACATATTAAAATGAGTTCAGGAAAAGGATAGGAAAACAAAGCGTGCTTTGGAACAAAAACACAACAAACTCCTGTAAAACTGTAATGATTCCAAGATATTTCTGCTCTTTTCTACTGGAAACTGCTGAAGGACACCAAAGGAAAACAGTACTGTGCTTGAGAATTTAATTCCTCAAGAAGCTACACCTTATTTTAAGTGCCATCAAGAACCACCTTAAGGGCTGGGCGCAGCTACATGAACTGCAACTGACTTTTTACTTGAGTCTAAACTATTCTGATTCTTAGTAATAAAGGACAGAAATATTGTTAAAAATGGATTAAGTTTTAAGAATAATTCCTAGCTCATTTTATTTGGTGTGTAGGCTTGTATAAGTGCTTAATCATATATTTGACGTTCTATCTATGCAGTTTCATAAAAATAAATGCCATACATTTATTTCTAAAAATCTTTTGATTGTATTTCATACAATTAGTGAACTCATAGTGAACAACATTAGTGAACTCAAATCCCCTCACCCTATGACTACTAATGTTTCAAAAGCAGAATGTATAAGAGAAGACATTAAGAGCAAAATGCCAAAATAGCAAACTCACAAATAGTATGACTATTTTGTCTATCTCAGTATAAAAAGCTAGCACTGACACTGTAAGAATTGCCTTCTGGTTTTTGCTAATTCACCCAAAACATTCTCAGCATCTTAAAAGTGTAAGTATAATCTAGGTTGGAGAGAGCCTTGAGTGGCATGGTTTAGTGTGAGGTGTCCCTGCCCATGGCAGGGGGGTTGGAACTAGATGATCTTAAGGTCCTTTCCAACCCTAACTATTCTATGATTCTATGATTTTGTGAGCTTTGGATATGCAGATGGATTGCTTAATGAGTTGTTCACAACACACACAGAACTGATTCCCTCTGGTTCCTTTCACTTGTAAATAAAAATATGACATTCTACTGAAGAAAAAATACCACACTTTTCTGCTTGAATTAATTCAGGTATACAGCCGCATGTACAACCAATTGCCAGGAGGAACAATACAGGTTTGAGTCCTGCTACCCTTTTAAAGTCCATGCCAAAGTTGAAACAGCTTTGCCAAGCTCAGAGAAGGGCTCGCAGTATTTTCTACCATACTGTACATCAGTGAGGCTCAGTATATGTCACATACATCTTTACAGACTTCAGCATGCCCATGAGCCCGTGCCCTGTCCACCACACTAGCAGCAGTGAAATTGCTACCTGTCACATGCCACCCAGGCCATAAAGAAGGTGGAAGAGCAGATGAACTATCCCAAGGGGTGCACATCAGGCCTCTCCCTCTCACAGTGTTTCACTCGTACAAAACGGTTCTCTGACCTAATTTGATTATGCAGTGTTTTCATGTGGAATCTCAGCCACATGTGCACTCAGAAACTATTGCTTTCTGGGTAAGCACGCTCAGGAGATCCTGGAGGATGCTTTAAACAAGCAAGTTCAATGAGATTTGCAATGCTATACTGCTAACTCAGGAAGTAGCTCTGAAGAATTAAAAATAAGCCAAATTCTTGAGAGAACTCTATTTTAGAAGCCTAGACAAAGACTTTCAGAGCAGAAGTGCAGTTTGTTTGCCTTTTGGTCTAGGGCAGTCCTCAGCAATTCGATACTGTTAAAATTCAATAATAACATATTAGAAAAGATACAAGCACTGTCAGATCTGTATTTCTCTGAAAATCTACTGTTTTGCCTCCCCTTGCTTATCTGAACTGCACTAAGCAGGAACTGAAGAGATGTTTTATTTCCTGCTTCAAGGCCACGGCTACAAAACTGCTCAGCAAACTTTTGGCACTGGCCTCTGAAGAGCCTCACATACAGCGGGAGAACAGAGAAACAGTTCCTCTGCTGCTGGGAAGAGACACAAACAGCTGTTCCTGTGGTATTTTTGCCATTATTACAAGGCTTCAAAATTGCATCAGAATAAATCCACTACTCATTTTTGAAACCTTATTGCCAATTCATTACATCTTACAAAGCACATGGTCTGAAGGAGCTGTTGGACAGAGCCACAATATTCCCAGGCTCATTGCAATCAATTTCTTTCTTTCAGATTCTTCTATTGATTAGAACTATCAATCATGCACACAGATTGAAGCAGCAGACTTCCACTTGTGCGTCTATCAGGTCGGGGTTTTTTCTGTGTATTAAGGAGTGATTTCTTTGTGTTTACGTTGCACTTATTGTGGCATATGGTCGCTATAAATATTGTCATTTAGAACAGGGCAAACTACAACTGAGCTGTTTAAACATCTGTCTTTGTTTTAAAGCACACTCTGGAAATATTTATTATTTCATGACTGTTTACAAAATAAAAGAAGAAAAATGTTTACGTTACTTTATCTACCTTGTCTTATTTACAACCAGCCAAATGAAACAAACACGCTTGCTGCTTATCCAAAACACCTTTTTAAACACCCGTGATTTCTTTCTGCAGTGATTCAGTTCGGAAAAGATACTTTCATGAAGACTAAGAAGCCTCACAACCCCAATGCCACTCCGAAAAGCAAATGCAGAAATGGGTTTATTCCTGCTTCGGAGCCCAGCCCAGCCCAGCCCGCCCGGAGCTAGACCTGCTTTGGCTCGCTTTCCCCTCGCACCGGCGACCCAGAAACGAGCTGTTCTCATCTTCCAGCAGCAAACGCTCCCGCTCCAGAGCCGGGCGCTGGGGTAGGCACGGAAGGGCGCGCAGGAGCCGCTCCAGCACCGCCTGGCCGGGAGACAGCCAGTACCGCCGCACGTCCCGGGGTCGGCTCCCGCTCCCCGCCGCCGCTGACGCACGGGGCTCCCGGGCAGCAGCAGCCGCCGCGCGGCGGCTCCCGTAGCTTATGGCAACGGCGGAGCCAATGGCAGCCAGCAGCCAGGCGCTGCCATGGCGATCCCGCTCCTCGCCATGGCGGCACCAACGGACCCGAGCGCTCGGCGAGGAAGCGGGAGCAGCGCCCGCTCGTTGCCCGGCTCGCCCTGCGCAGCTCCGCTCTCGGTGGCGCCCAGCAGAACGCGCAGCGGGAGCTCTTCCGGCAGCGCACGGCGGGGCCGGGGTCTCCGCAGCCGAGAGTCGACGGCCGCCACCGACGATGAAGCGCCCCGCCTGCTGCCGCCTGGCCCACCAGAGAGAGAGGGTCACTACTGGCGGAAGCGCGGAGGCGAGCTCTCCCTCTCTCCGCGGGCCTGACAGCTCTCCCCAGAAACTAGCGCTTTAACTTCGCGGAGCGGAACCGCCCGAAGTTGGGAACCAACACCGGGCCCCCTCCGACAGCAGCCGGCAGGCACGGGGCTTGCCCGCGACCCGCTCCTCACCGCCTCTCCTCAGCGCCCCGGGCACGGTCCGGACCCTCTGCTCCGCCGCCGCAGCCAAATCTGCTCTGGGCTGGGTTCCGGCGGCCATCCCCCGAAGCCGCCGGGGGGCAGCGACTCCAACCCAGGAGCAGCTCCGGTCCCTCTGGCCGCGCTCACAGCCCGGCGGGGGTCCCCCCTACCTGTAAGGGATCCAGTCCGCCTGGTGCCTTGAAGTCATCTCTCCGCGGCGACGCTGCCCGGAGCCGAGGAGGGGGACGCGGCCGCTGCTGCCCGAGTCGGAACCCGCCACAGCGCGGGCAGCATCCTCCGTCCGGGGTGGGGGCGGACGGCGCGCCGGTTATCCCGGCAGCGGCCGCAGAAACATCCCCCCGGGGAGGGCTCCCAGCTGCGGGCCGGGCTGCATGGGGAGGGGGGCTGCCGGGGGCAGCGGGAGGTGGCTCCAAGCCCTTCCTCCCTGCCCGGAACGGCGGCTGGGTCGGGCGCAGGAGCGGGGAAGGGGGGGCGGGAGGTGGGCGGAGGAAGGGACAGCGGCGGGCAGGGAAAGGGAGGGCAGCGGCTCTCGTCCCCGCTGCCGCTACCCGCCCGCCCCCCCGCTGCTGCCGCCGCCGCCGCCGCGCTGAGGCATCCCTGGGCGAGACGAGCCGGGCCGAGCAGAGCTGAGCCGGCCCCCGCGCCGAGCCCGCCCCTGCCCGTCAGCCGCGCCGCCACTGATTCACGGTCGGTGCCCGCCCGCCACTGGGCATGTGCGGGGCATCCCCCCGCGAGGGGAGCGGACGGGCGCCGCTTGGTAAAGGGCGTGCGGCCCTGGCAGCCGGCTGGGGCGGAAAAGGTGCGAGGAGAGCGCATCCTGCGCCCAGGCGGTTCTCCGGCAGCCCTACCGGCTGAGTCTGTCAGTTTCAGCAGCTCGACCCAAAATGGCTGAGGAGCCACGGCCCGGGGGCTGCTTGTAAAAGCTTAACGCGGCCCTTCGGGGAAAAGCGGTGATTTCTGTTCGCTGATGCCGGAGAGGCGCCTCGCAGTTGATGCAGAGCCGCCGGGATATGGGTGTCTGCCGCCCACCTCGGCTGGGTGAGCACGGCTGTGAGCACCGGCAGCGTTCTTGGGGTAAACCATGGTGGGAGGCTGAGGCTGGCTGCACACAGCACGGTCACGGCTCCGTGTGACCCGCGCCTGTATACAAGTGTCCTACAGGCTGTTAGACCAGCTCTGCTCCAGCCCTCCAGCCAGAGCAGAAATAAAGTCCATTTAAACTATTGTAAATCCTCCTCGTCCCCTAAGTCTGTGTCAGACTATATGCTTACAGAAACAATTCCTGACTTTGTTGAAAAAACTATCTGAAGAAAGAAGGAATTAGTGAAAGATGAAGATGGATGAAATCTCTGAATAATGGCAAAACTCAGAAGTTTTGTTGCAGGTAACATTTGTACTGTGTGGAGAAACTTAGCTGAAGTCACCTTTTCACACAGGCGTTGTGGGATAAACCACCAAAGACTTAATTGTGGCCACCTTTTGTGCCCTGAAGAGGCTAAAACAGAGAAGCTAAGATGGAAAGGGACACCCAAGTGACAAAGACATGAATCTCTGTCCTGCGAAGCCATCACCGATTTGCAACATTAGTCTTCATGGGGTGAATTTGTGTGGAAGAAGGGTAAGGCTCAGATTATCCCATTGCAACGTATTGCAGAATTAGAGGGAAAGATGATTGATTAAGGCTGTGGGAAGGTGAATGTCTGAGTGGAGAAGAGTGAAAAAAAAAAGTTCACCTAAGAAAGTAGGGAGTTTAGAGGAAAGTGTTTAGAAATAGTGGAGCAGAACAGTAGAAAAAGAACTTTTGTTTTTTGTTTTATAGCATAAAAACCCAAGGAGACTATTACGATTTTACAGATTAAAAAACAATTGAAGGAGCTAGTTTTTCACGCAACATGAACATGTGGTAGAGTTTGCTACCAAAGAACACGGCTAGGGACAGGAAGCCAGCAAGAATCAACAGAAAATGGCATGCTTAACAGATAACAGGAATGTTACCAGTTTCTTCACTGTTGTAAACGTCTGACAGGCTATTTTGTTTTAAAGCCAGAAACCAGAATTTAAATGTTTTCCAAAAGTCAGAATGAGATCTACTTTTAAGGAAAAGTTCCCTCACATCTATGTGGATAGTTTGCTGGTTTTCTGACCAGCACCAGGCACTGGACTTCACAGACCTCCATTCCAGTCAAGCACAACCAACAGGCTTCACCACCTCCTGGCAGTGGTAGTAGCGTGAGGAGGCAGCTGCAGGAGAGATCCCATCTCCCGCCACTAAGATGAGTGCTTTGTAAACATGCCCTTTTACTGAGGCTTCTGTACAAAAGAAGAAGGATGAAAACTAGAAGAGTTTTCTGTCATTGGGAGTCAAAAGCTCTCAAAGGTAATGATTAGAATATCTATTTTCAAAGAGCCGTAAGTGTAAATTCTGATAGATGAACTAATGTGAACACATAAAAAAGATCCCTCTGACCCTTTAAAGGATATGAAATATGGAAATGCTTCACTGTCATTTAAACAGCCCAAGACCATGTTTGTGTTAACAAATGCAAAGGGTATGGGGTTTACTAGATGTTCAAAATGGGAGGCTGTCAGGGTGTATCGGAAGATGGGATTGTGCAGAGCACCATGTAAATCAGGAAGAGCTGACACGAAGGAGAAGAAAGATCAGGAAAATTGCATGGGGAGAAGGGAAAACCAATTCTCTGATAAGGTTTATTTATGCTTCCAACCATGTTCCTCATTTTCCCCTACCCTGATTCTCTCTTATCCATTTATCATCTTGGGTGGCTTGCTTTTATACTGCTTCACTCCCCAGCTTTAGTTCTTTCTCACTGGCAGTGCTCTGCCCCCAGTTTGGAAGCCAGTGCGCTGAGCAGAAAGGTGAATCTCAGCCCTCTGAAGCTGGCAGTGATAAGAGCAGGGCTACTGCACGTCTCTAACTCAGAGCAAGATCCCAACTCACCAGTCTCCTATGGATGTCACTGCTTTGTCTACATGGCACACAGAGCTAACTCTGAATGACAGGGCAAGAATTTCAAGAAAATCTTTGCTGGGTGGGTGACCAAGGTCTTCATTTTGCTGTATGACAAACCTCAAGATTGACTGTGAGGTACAGATCTGCTCACTGACATTTCTGATAATTTTCAACAGCTCAGGGAAGTCCTGGGTTTTGCAGGAGTCAGTTTCCCCAAGCACTTCTACAACAAAAACAGGGAAAAAAAAATCAGGATGTAACAAATAACCCTTTCACACCATGATGATTTTTAAGTGCTATCTGTAAAGAGAATTGTACTTTTCAAAAGCCGTACTTAATCAGTTTCAGATACCAGCTTGATGGGCAAGGTAGCCTCTTAGGAAAACAGTTCTTTAAAGGTTCAGCTATGGATACATGAAACAGAAGGAAAGCAGCAGCACAGATGCAAACCTAGCTCTTCCACTGCCAAATATGTCTCACCGAGTACCATCTTCCTCTACGTACAGTGTGCTACCTTTCCAATTATTCTTATTTTGTCCTCTGTGTAAAGGAAGTGTCCTACTAATTCATTTTTTGATTGAGATGATGAATAATACAACACAACTATATCTAACAGTTGAAAACACCTGCCTTTGCAACAGAAAGCCTCCTGGCAATCTGAGTAGAGAGCAAGACATAAAAGCAGAAGGACTCTGTTGAAAGGGAGTTGGGAGAACCTAAGCAAGCAGTAAAATAAGAAACTGATGTTAGCTCTTTCCTAAGTGTACAGATTAATAACTTTTAAAAGTCTAATTTTCCCATGTTGTGGTAATTAATTCCTTGTAATTTAGCCCATGAAAGAAAAAAATAATCAAGTAGTAAGTGTATATACTGAATTGAAAAAGTGCACAGAGTATCTTTTATAGAGAGGTTTTTATCTATCTAAATTCCTATTGCTCCCCTTTCTAGAGCCACTGTTGCTTCTGCACTGAGCATAGCATTGTTCAAACCTTGTGTGCTACCTGTGGAAAAGTGTGCATGTTGCGTGGTTTAGAAGGTTTCCTACACCTCACAGCTGCTATAGTAGGCTCAGGATATGTATTCAATTAAATTCCTGTCTCATTTGCCTTCTTAGCTGACCTGAAAAAAAGGCTGATTTTAGAAAAAGGAGAAGTACAGTAATGCATGTCATAGATTTTCTGATTTGCGGAGCCATGCTGGTTTTATGCTGTGGTATAACACATCCTAACTCACAGGTCCTAATCCCTTCAATAAGACATCCAAGAGACTAACTTGATCTCTACTTTTTAGGTCATTTAAAAGGGCAAAAGCTGACAGTCTCTGAATCAGCTCAAACACAGTGAAGAAAACACTTCTATTCCACATTTTTCATCTTACAATAGCACAATCAGGACGGATTTGGCAGAAACATGTAAGGATTCTGGGTTTTCCTTTATTGGCTTGGACATTTCTAATTTTAAGCTCCAAATAACAAGGAACAGGGATGTGTTTGTGCTGGCATAACTACAGAAGTGGTTGAGTTTAGATTTTTCCATTCCAATATATCTAAAATCAAGCTATCATACTTGAAGTAAGACCATGCCAAATAAAACTTATCTGCATTCATTACAAACCTAGAGTTCCTGACAAAGTTCATGAACCTTTTTCTGTATAAAGCTCAGATCAGTTGTGAGCATATCTAGGATATTTTGTTTGTTTGTTTGAAAATCAGACTGCATCTAACCAGGACCAGATGCAAATGCTGAGGTTTTGTATAATGAGCTGAAATTCAGCAAGTTCAGTGGACTCCTTCCCAAGCAGTGAGTCCTGGAATGCGTTGAAACAAATTCAGAATAAACTCCAGGGATGACAATAAGAGCCTTAAAACTTTCACACACCAAAATGAAGAAAATGCTTACAAAAAGCCAAATCAAATCAAAGCCTTGAATTGTAATTTTCTCCATAAACACTTCAGTAATACCAGAGATATGATAGAGATAATTCTACTCATTGTCGTGGACTTTGGATGAGATTTATGCCAAGTCCACTGTCCTTGTGCCTTCAACAGAAAGAAGCCCAGGTTAAATCTTGTTTCCCAGTAAGAAAAAAAGATATTAATTTTGATATGCCAATTTCAACTGTAACAAGAAAGTTTAGTGGCAAAGGTGAAAAATTTGGAGATGAAACTCTGGGGAGGAGACAAATTGGTATATGAAACATTTATTGTAGCCTTTACATGTTAGATCCTCTCCATCTCTCCATGAAAGCTTTCTTTCCGTTGTTGTATTTCATCTGTTTTCATTCCAATAAGTACATTTCTGTTTCTTTATTGTGAGGCTGTGGAGCATAAATACTGATGGGAAACACGCTGAAATAAAATCTATTCTGCAGTAACAGGATAGAGCTCCCTTGCCACCCAGAGTGATTTTTCAATTTAGTCACTTCAGTTTGAACTTGCCTAGCTCCAGTGAGATCCTGTCTGATATCATGTTATGAACAAATAATATCAAGCTGACACCTACATGTCCATATTCCTGTAAAACAAGTAAGTATAAGAAAATGTTACCTTTTGAGGATTGAAAGTTGTTAAGCTGACTTTGCCAGCACTAGAAACCAAACCTTGTACACC